TAGATTCCAAGGCACCAGAAAATCCCCCTATGCCCTGAACAAAGTTACTGTTAGTTCTTGCTTTTACAGCACTTCCACACTGATGTTTTTGCACCTATTTTGGTTTATTCATAACCTTAGCAATTTCTGGATGGTTTCTGTGTGACCTTTAGGCCTGAGCTAGTCTGTCTTTCTTCATTAAATCATCACTCTCAGTGTTCTACATCTTATATCTCTCCTCTCTGTGCTCTCTCAGTGCCCCTGTCACTCTCTGGTCCCCCTTGCCAGTCTCCAGCTCTGCCTCTATTCCACATTACTCTGCAGGGCAGCAGTGTTATGTCTGAAGTTTTGTGACTCAGTCAAGGAGCAGCAAGTACTTTTCTCCAAACCACAGTGTGGTGAGTTTACTGTGGCTGAGGCCAAACTGCCCCCAGCCCCTCTCACACCCCCCTGCTCAGCAGGGCAGGGGAGGGAAGAACAACCTTGTGAGGTGAAGGCAGGGAGGTCATCCCTGACCATTATGGGCAAAACAGTCTTGACTTGGGGAAAAGAAATTTAATTTATTACCCATTAAAATAGATTTGGGTAGTGAGAAAGACCACTGAATTGCAACACCACCCTCTGCCTCCCAGCCCAGCTTCATCCCCTCATCCCTGTGTGCCCCGAGCAGGGCAGGGGGATGGGGCTGTGGGTGGTTTGTGGCAGCTCCTCTCTGCCACTCCTATGGGTGACAATTCCACGAGGAAAACGCATGAGCTCCCCAGGGGACACTGTTCCTGCAGGGAATGAACATGCCCTGCTCCCCTGAGGACTCCCTGTGGGCTGTGGGGATCCAGCCCTGCAGCACCTGCCCTGTGGTGCCCACTGTCACTGTCCCCACACCCCTGGGAGCTGTGGCCCTTTGGCCCCTGGGTTCAGTGTCCCCAGGGCAGGACCAGGGCACTGAGGGGGCTCTGTGAGACCCAGGGGAGTGTGTGTGTGGGGGGCCTTTAGGGCTTTTTGCCTTTAATTCACCTTGGCAGCAGAGCCACGTCACCATTAGAAGCTGCCCTGGCTGCTGCAGTGCCCCCAGGGTGGTGAGGGACTCATCCAGTCCCACCATCACCAACTGGGAAAATGCCCCTGATATAGAAAACCTCTAAAGAGTCTGGTTTTGGGGAGCAGGGAAGAGCTGTTGTTCCTCTCACTGTTTGAGGTGGGTGTGGTGAAGAACCAGAAATAAAATCTCCTGCTGAGACTCAGCCCAGCCCTCAGCCAGCAGCTGATTTTTTTTTTTTTTCCTTTTCCTTTCTTGTAATAGAAGAATTATAGTTATGACTTTACCCAGTTCTGCTTGACTTCTGGAATCCTCCAGTAGATTTGATGGCACTTCAAACTAATAGGTTCTGTGGTACAATGAAAGATTTCAAAAAATGCATTGCTAAGAATGACCAGAAACTCCTAGGAAAGTTTTGGAGCTGTGGGTGTGGCCCAGGCTCCAGCCCTGTGCTGTCCAGCCTGGGCAAGTGCTCTTGAGGTCCTGATTGTCAGTTCATCTGCATGTCCCCCATCTCTCTCACTCAAGGAGTCCCTGAGGCTGTGCATGTTCCCTGTGAGTCTGAGACAGTCTGAGTTTTTAGGGTTTTGTGCTTTCAGTCTAGAAAATGTCGGTATTTCCCCTTTGTGATACCCTTTAGATGGATCCCTACTTGGATAAATTCATTCCCACCCTACAGTGAAAGCATAGAGTCAAATACACTTATGGAAAACCTTTTTCACTCCTCCTCTGGTGCAAATTAGAAGAGTAATGCTGTGGTGATGTGGGAAGTTCCTCAGTGAGACCTTCACAGAATCACAGAATATTCTGAGCTGGAAATGACCCAAAAGGATCATCCAGTCCAACCCCTGGCCCTGCACAGACACCCCAGAAATCCCACCCTGTCCCTGAGAGCGTTGTCCAAACCCTCCTGCAGCTCTGGCAGCCTTGGGGCTGTGCCCACTGCCCTGGGGAGCCTGTTCAGTGCCAACCACCCTCTGGGGGAAGAACTTTTTCCTAATATCCAACCTAAACCTCTCTTAATGCAGCTCCAGCCATTCCCTGGGTTCCCATTGCCATTCCTGGGCTACCTTGAGTAGACACCATGGGACTTCTGTGCTGGCTTTGCTCTTTGCTTGGGGTACCCTGCCAGGAATGGTAGAGGAACAAGAGTTATCAACGTTGCACTTCAAATTTCTTCCAAGGACAGTTTCATTTTCAAGGGGAAACTGATTTTAGGGCTCCTGTGCTCCCCACAGTGATGCACCAGACTCATGCAGTGTAACTAAAGATCCAGACTTTTATCTGTGGACCTTTTTAGCACTGTATTATTTCAGTGTTGTCTTTTGCAGTTGGATCTGTGTGAATAGATGGAAATGACCCGTTTCCTGTCCACGTTAAGTGTTCTCGTGTGTGCTTGTGTGTAACTTTAGGTTCTTAAAAGAACACAACAGGCACATTTCCATGCTTTATTTTTTTAATTTAGCACAGATTGATGGGTTTTGGAATAAAATGTAAACCCTCAACAGTTTGGCACGTGGGGGAACTCAACTTGGAAAAAAAGAAAGGAAAATATGGGAAGCTTTTAAATCTTGGACTTATTTCTGAGTTTGCTGTCTGGTCTATGCAGTTCACTTTGTTCCTGCAGAATTTAAGGCTCAGATATCTTGGTCAAATTCTCTTGCTCCTTGTAAATTGTGTCTAGAAAAATGACACCTGCTGGGTTTTTCTTCTCTTCTTTGTAAATAGCTGGAATTCATGATGTAGAAGTATAAAACTGAGCTGCTATGATTAGTTTGCAAATAACTGATGTGTAAAAACTGCGTGCAAGATAAGTTGAAGTTCTAAAAATAAAATCTGAGACTAGGAAAAAGTTCCTAATGCCCCAGTTGCAGTAAGAGTTTTTCCATCATTGAGCAGATGTTGACAAAAGACCAAGTCAAGGAAACTTGATCCATTTTCCTCTGGTTGGTTAAACTGTAAACTTGGGACCATAAAATTACAGGACACAGAGGTCCTAGATAAGATCAGTGAGTTATATATGAAGTGTAAGACTTCTTGAATTCGTTATCCTCCCCTCTGCCTCCAAAAAATCTATTTTTATAGATACCGAGATCTATTAGATCTGACTGATAAACCATTCCATTTGAAATAAAAATAATTTTACTGGAAATGTTCTGGCTGAGCTGTGGAATATTTAGTTTATTTATTAAATTTTAAGTGTCTGACAAATAGCTCTAGTCCTTCTGTTACATTTTCTTTGAGCTGAGAGTAGGCCTGTGCCATTTTTTGCAGTTGTGCTCATGCATTGCAACTCAGTTGTGTGTTGGAACCTTTAGTTCCATATACTTTGTGCCCTTTCTTTGATTTGACTGATAGAGAGCACCCAGAGGTGCCTTGTACAGTGAGGGGAATAAGGGATGAAGGGGAAGTGTCACACACACAGAGTTTGCTCTGGTTGGGAGAAAAGATGATTGATAAAGGGTGAGGAGACTTAGTGTGTCCCTTCAGTGAACCTGGGGCAGAACAGCAGTGGCCCTGGGTGAGCACAGTGTCCAGTGGGAATGTACATCAGCACAAGTGTGTTTTGCTTGCATGCACCATTAAAAGAGCAACTGTGTGAATTTTTGTGTGTGGAAATAAAAGAGAGAGAAGAAAGAGGGGGAAAAAGGTGATGGAGAGTGTTCACGGAGAAGGAACCTTTGGTCTCCAGTCATGGAATGGAGATGAATGAATGTCTACTCCTGTACAGTCTGAATAGAACTTACTGTGATCGTATTAGTAATTAAAATAACTTAGGAGGAGTTGTTTGGTGTTTGTTATATGAATATTGATGAGTGTAGTAGGTGTCTCATAAAATACTTCATTAGATACCTTGCCCAAGTATTTGGTCTTCATTTACGTCTGCTGCCAGTATTTATGTATGTGATTTTAGATCTAAATTTCTGAAAGGGACTTCTTTCCAGAATTGGCCTCTGGAGTAACCAGTCTTCACAGGAGGTTAGTTCAAGTGAAACATCAACAAGGCTAGAGGAAAATTGTAACATGTTCAAGCAAAATATATGGAAAGATAGGTTAAAATGGATACATGCATTTTCAGCATTGAAGTAGATGTGAGTCATGTATGTGTATATATGTGTATATGTGCTCATGGACATTAGTAATGAACATATATTGTAAATGCTTTCCTCAGTACACTGCTGTGCAACGTGTTGACCTGCACAGTCCACAGCATAAGAGAAAGCAGATGTGTTCTCAGTTGTAATGAAAATACAGTTTGTAGGGGGTTTTTTTGTACGTTTTATTTATTACAATGCCAGTAAAGTTCATTAAACCTGGCTTGAAAGGCAAAAGCAATTTGATAGCTATTAAGTAGATCATGTTGTTTTATGAACATGGAGGTTAGTCAAGAATTGTTTATAGTGCCAGGCAATGTGGTTAGGGGCTAGTCCAGCAAAAAAAAGGCTTCTCTGGAGTGATGACTTCTTCTTCCCCTGGGGAGACTTCCATGGATCTCAGAATCCACGTTACGCTGTGCTGTAATGAGGGAGGGTTTGACTGTGTGTGCTGCAGTGTGATGGCAACTTTAACAACTTCACCTGTGGCAGAAATACCTTGAGGAGTCCAAAAGCTTCCTAAATGAAGGTCTTAAACTGTGATTTCCCCGGGAGATGAGCGTTGCCCCTTCCTACCTGCAGCACCTGGACCTCACACCCCCTCTGTGGTGCAGGAGCTCTGTGTTCATGGTGTCACTGAGGTCGTTCATGGTGTCACTGAGGTTGTTCATGGTGTCACTGAGGTCGTTCATGGTGTCACTGAGGTCGTTCATGGTGTCACTGAAGCCCTGCCCTGGCACGAGGTCACACGGTGACAGTGGCACTGCTGAGAGCACCACGTAAATGCTGCTTTGCCTGGACCTGGGGCTGGGTTAAAGAAGAACAGTGGACAAGGGGACTTGCCTGGAGCAGGCTAAACTCTTTCTCTCTTTGTTTTCTCTCTGCTGCAGCTCAAGCCAGGTCAGAACAGCTGCCGAGACAGCGACAGTGAGAGCGCGAGCGGGGAGTCCAAGGGTTTCCATCGAAGTAGCTCCCGGGAGAGACTCAGCGACGTGAGTATCACCCCTGCAGCTAAACCTGCTCTGGGCAACCCTGCTGGAGTGTTCTGAGGGCTCTAAGTCATAACACAGTTTAGTTCCTGGGCTGGTTTGTTGCTAAAATCTTCTTTTGGGGTTTCTGGAGAGGAAGAGGTAACTTAATATCCTGCCCCAGTTCAGAAAACTTCTCAAAGTTTGATACAATGTCTTTCTGTGTGCAAATGCTCATTACTGTTGAAACACTCGAAGGCCATTTAACAAAGTAAAAATGTTCTGCATACTTGAGAAGTGAGGTGGCCTCTTTTTACCCCAAAAGGGGAAGGAAAAGAATGTATTTCTTTGGGCTAAATACTGTCTTTATGAAAAGTATTAGAATGTCTAGAGAGACTCAGCTAACTTATATATAATGAATTGATATAACATGGCCAACAATAGCATAAGCTCTGCCTTTATTGCTCTACCTAAACTGCTGTGGAAGGGCCTGAGATGGCAGCTCTGTGGAGTGTTTCTCTCCACTGGAGAATGCTGGCCATTCACAGGGTGACACACACGAGCTATTCCGACGGAGGAATGACTACAGAAATCTGTTGCTGCAATCAGATTATTATTATTTATTATGTGTACCATCACAATCCTTGAGTGTTTTATTCATGGTTCTGAGTCCTCTGTGCTACATGCTTTACAACACAGAATATAAAGACAGCCCTGTCCCCAAAGAGTATCTAAACTGGGGATTGTGTAGGTCAGATCCTTGGCTGGTAAAAGCATGGATGGCTGCATTAGTCAGCCCAGTTTGTATCAGCCAGCAATCTGGCCCTGCTCTCAACTAACCCACATTTTGGAAATGGGGATTTTATCGATAGCATGTCCATGTAGATTTGGATGACAGATACCAGATGGTGTCCTCTATAGGCCAATCCAATAAAACTGAACTGAGCAGGCATTAAAAGAAATACCTTTGTAAAGGATACATTTCGTGGTGCGAATTCAAGCCTCGAGGCACAGAGCTAGCAATTTCTGCTGAATTGTGCATATCACTGGAACAGATGCCTGATTTTTTTTTTTTTCCTGTGAAAGTGTGAAATCTGTAGCGCTCTCTTTCTGCATCCCTTTGTCAACTTATTGTAGAGGTCCATTTCTTCCCCAGAGCCAAGCTTTATGGGTGCAGTCAGCTAAACTCTCCAGTGCCTGCCCTTCATAGCTGTCAGGTGAGGTCAGTCTGAGGGCTCCTTGGAAGAGCAGATTGAAACCAGAGGAGAGAGCGAGTAAATGTTCTGTACAGGTAGCAGTGGATGGCAGCCTGTCACCATTGCCATCCTTTGCCTCTGAGCCCCGTGGCAGCTGAGAAATCACTGCAATGAACTCCACAATTACACAGCACCTTCCAGCAAAAAAAATTCACAGCTCCTTACAAACATGGTTTTAATTTAGCCTTGTCGCTCCCTCGCAGCGTGCTGAGTGGAGAGCTCAGAGGCAGCTCACAGCACTGCATCGCCAGACCTGGCAGGGAGAGCAGAGTCCTGGTTCCCCCTCCACCCATCCAATCCACTTTTTCTCTGATGTTTTTACAATACTTTTCCTTTGTCTTGGCACTGTGGCAAATTGAAAGGAAGCAGAGAGCAAATCCAACTTCCCCAGAGCATCCGAGAGAGGATGTAGGGGTTCACAGGTTGCTCAAAAGGAACATTATGTAAATATGTGTGAAGATTTATATCTGGAAATGTTATACATAGTTTATGTTTTGCTTAATAAGGAAAGTTCCTTTATGCTTTGATAATTCATTGCAATACAAGCATGTCTCTCTGGTCTGGTGTTACCAGTTCAGCTGACATTTGAAAAAGATGCATGAGATAGTTTTCACCTTACCTGGGCCTGTGGTGGCCTTTCCCAGCCCCCTTCAGTTCAGAGCAGTGCATCCCATTCTCTCCCAAAGCCAAACACCCCGTGTGTTGAAATGACAGGGCCTGACAAAGTGCCAGTGATACTTTCACTTCCACGTCTGGGGGAGCCTGTCCTAAGCTTGATCTTGAACACAAAGATGCTTCAAGAGCTTAATAAGGTTATTTTAAATAGTATCTTTTGAAGAAGTCAGTTGTCTAATGATACCCAGCAATTACTGTCCAGAAAACACATCAGACAACAGAGTAAGCTTTCTCTGAAGATTTGTTTCTGTTTTCACAACTATTTTCTCAGAAAAAATACATAAAAAGTTGTGCACGCATCAGAAGATAGAACAAAAATATAAAACATGGCGGGCAGAGTAACCCTGAGGTCAGAAAGCAAATTTTGACCATGAAATATAATGAATCTCCACTAATGTAGCCTGACAGCATTGTAAGATTAAGCTCCTGTATGGAAATGTGGATAATGAATGAAGTGCATATACTGCAGGCAGATGATCATTTTCTGATCCCCAGTTGTAAGCAGGCTGGTGAAACAGCAGTGTTGGAGCCCCCTTAATGTGGGGCCTAAGTGACGGTTTAGTGACAGATGCAGAATGAGGGAGATGGGATAATGAATATCCAGTTGCAAAGTGACACATCAGTGCCTTCATTCTCTCTCCTGTCAGGTATCTTTCAACTCTGCCTATTGTAACTGTACCTGCAGTCCTTGGATAATGCAGAGTGATGCAAAGTGTGTTTACAAGGAGTGACTCCTTTCCAGGCTAATGAGATCCAAGCCGGTAATTTGCAGCAATTGTGAGAGGTGGGCAGAAATGAAAAGAAGATAATTCAGTGAAAAGACCATGTTAAACAGGAGACTTTTCTCCTAATGAGGCTTGAGATAGCATCAGGCAGCAGGAAGAGGAATATCCTCTGTTCTTGTCAGGTGCAATGCAGTGAGACTGATTTCCATCAACTCCTTTCTTTGTCCTCATCTTGCACATGTGTGCCCAGGCACACACCCCTCTGTGAGAGAACATAATTAGCAGAGAATTTGACCTCTGCTAGATTAGGGATAATGATTGCTCGAATGCTCCAGTGCAGGCGTGTGGCAGTGCCCTGATCCAGGTCCCTGTTTGAATTTCTGCCTTTCTCCTTTTCTTTTTTTTTTTTTTTTTTTTTTTTTTTTTTTTTTTTTTTTTTTTTTTTTTTTTTTTTTTTTTTTTTTTTTTTTTTTTTTTTTTTTTTTTTTTTTTTGGAATGACAACTTGTTTTTTCCTTTATGGACAGAGGTAGCTCCAGGGGCCTAAAAGAGAAATTGGAGAGCTGTTCCTCCTGTAGATATAGGGTGCTGTAGTCAGTTTAATCTCATCAAAATTTTGCCAGTAGTAGAATTCATTTTGTTGAGATCTTGCTTGGAGACAAGATGGCAGTGCTTTCTCTTTTGCTCAGCTTGGAGCTCAGTCAACTTGTTTTCCGTATCTTTCTGTATGTATTTATTTTTAATTGAGTCTTCCCTCTTTGGAATACTTTTTTGTCATGTTTCACAAAACAGCCGGGAGATTTACTTGAGGAAAACATGAGAATTACATCTAACCTGGATGGCGAATGCTCTGAGTATTCAGGGGTTCAGCCACCTCCGTGCTGATCAAAAATCAAAGCACCTGATTCCTTTGGTGCACATTCCTAAATTCTTGATCTGTCTGATCTCACCCTGCCTGCTGCTTCTGGTGCTGGTTGCAGGCTTTCAGTGGGGGGATGAGTAGCAGAAGCCTCTCATGTGGCCACGGGCTGGGAGGCAGCACATCATCCACTCTTGGTGCACATCAGAAGCCTGGAGCGCCTGGACTCTGCTTGCTTTGCTGAACAAGGAATCACAAACCAGAAGAAACAGTTGGCACCTTTCTGTCTGGAATGCTTTTCCAATTCCTGAACAGGGAGTGGGATAGGACTCTTTCCGTTTGTCCCCTACATGAAAGGTCTCATCCTGGGCTCTCATCCAAGCTGATGCTTTCTTCATGAGTGCTTCCCTTTCCCCAGTGCTTTGTGTGCTCCTACTGCCCTGTGGGCTCTGAGAGTAGCTCACAGCGAGGTATCACTGAGGGTGAAGTCCTGAAGGCCCCTGCCCACCAGGCCTGTCGCTCTTTGCTTCGTGAAGAAATATGCCTACTCCCCCCAGCAGATCAATCCTGTGGGCAGCTCACAGTTTCAGCCTCAAATACGGGATATTTCCCATTCTCCTGTCTCTCATTCCTCCCTCCTGTACAGAGCCCAGAGGAAGATAAACCGAGGGACAGTCAGTGGGTTATGTGCTCTGAAATCCTCAGTGCTGTTCCTTCTCCAGAGCATCACTTGGCTGGATCCGAAGTGGAATCACACGAGCAGAGCTCCGTGTGTCTGTGTGCGTGTGCCAGGAGCTGATCAGCTGCAGTGGCTGCTGCTTTGTGTGTGTGTGTGTGTGTGTGTGTTTGCCAGGGTGTGTATGTGTGTGTTTGTGTGTCTAAGGTTGGGTGCTTAAATGCTTTGTTGCATTATGTTAATTCCTCGGCAGTGCAATCAAATTCATGTCGTAATTAAAGCTGTCAGTTGGAAGGCAAGCCAATCGCCAAGAAAACACAGCATAACAAATGAAGTGAAATGATTCTGCGTGTAGCTATACAATGCTTCGCCAGGCATGAAATTAAATAAGTAATTTGATGTTGACATCAGAAATTGAAATGATACCCACTGTTCCTTCATTCAGTCAGACCTGCATAAACAATAGCCAGAACAAATATGTACAACACAGCCTTTCTCCCCACCCAGCTCCCCAAGTAATGCACAATATATATGCAAAATGGGTATAACTGTGCCTTCCAAGACCTCAAGGATGTAATTTTCTTTGGTACACAATAAACTAATGCTTACATGAGGGTTACTACATTTTTGCTTCTGGGCCAAAGTTCTTCTCTCTAAGAAAGGAAGGAAACAAAACCAAAAAAAAAAAAAAAAGAAAAAGAAAAAGAAAACAAAAAAACCCCAGAAGAAAAATAACAAAACCAAAACCATGTTAATTTTAAGCAAGTGTGTTTTGCTGATGGGCACCTAATGCAGGCTTCTGCTGGTGGTTGTGTGAATATCAAGCAGTATATCTGATGTCCTATTTTGCAAAGGGTTTCGGAAAGTGAAACCATTACCTCTATTATAGGCACACTTTATATAAGAGATGTAGAACCATCCAGTGCAGGATCTCGACTCAGCATGGGCTTGTAAAGATGCTTGTGCAGTTGGTACCCAGGCTGGGCACTGGGTAGTGGGATCCTTTCGCTATTGGGAGTTACCCAAAAGGTGAGAAGTTGTCTCTTGCATAGCCCTCGCTTCAGCCTTTGTGCTCTGTCAACACACAGTTCACACACAGCTGATAGTCATCCATGCATGTGCAGCACAGTCTTTTGTACTTCAATTAAAAAGAGTTTGCAAACTGTACTCTCCATATGCAGCATGCAATGTGTGAAGGGCTATATTTCCATCCAGCAAACTCAAATTCCCTGAAAATGCACAGTTGTTCAGTGAAAGTCATTTGACTGCTATGTTTCTACTGTCCTCCCATAGCCATTGCAACATTGCTTTTGAAGGAATGAAAATATTCAGTGGGAAATATTTTGTTTGCTTATTCTTTTTTTCTTCCATTTTATTGTTTTGTTTTGATACTTGATCCTTCCAAAACTTGGAATAGAAAGCAGACAAAAATTACACACAGATGCAGAAGGCAAACTTTGGAGCTTTCAGCCAGTAAAGTAAGTTTTAAAAATTGTGAGTGAAAGAGTGGGACTCGCTTGGCATCTGTACATAGCTGAAACAAAAGTGGTTATAATGATTGCACGTGTTGTACTTGTGGGCAGATCTCTCTAGCTTAGATTAAAAGAATGAAAAATGGCACGAGGCAGAAAGCAGGCTGAGTGAGGAGCAAGGCAGGCTTTGTGGAGTGCTCTGCCAGGAACGTGGATGTGTTTGATACTGGAGTGTGCTGCACTGCACTCACTGCCAGGGGCTGCAGAGCTGCACCAGGGAGGCCACAGGCTCCCAAATCCAGGGCCTGGTGGCCCATGGAGGGCACTTCCCAGCTGGGAACAGCAGCCAGGCTGGGCAGTGACCGGGGCTGTGGTGGTGAGCAGGTTATTCCCAGCACAGAGAATGGTTCCAGCGACACTGAGGAAAGCAGAGCAGTTGTTGAGCCCTGGGGCCTCATGGCCATGTGTTCCCAGATCTGCAGTGCCCATTCTTGAGCAGAGCACTGTCAGGGGCATTGCCACTGGGCCAGGTGGGCCTTGCTGTGGGTGATGGTGGTAGAGAGAACTTGAGGCTCCAGAACAGCAAGAGTGGGGACAGGAGGACTTTGGAATTTCTTTGTTTCTGTGGAGCTCCCCTTGCAGGCTGATAACCAGACCTGTTCACTGCAGATCTGTGTTGGGGTGCCCTGCAGAAGTGTCTCAGAACAGGGATGAAGTGATGACAATTGTTGGTCTTTCCAGTGGTTTTCCCAGGCTGGTCGGGCCCCTCTGCAGTTCCTGGTTATCCCTGAGCTGTGGCATTACTGAAAGTGAGCTTGTGCTGAGGAACAGAAATGGGAATTGAGCTACAGGAGTTACAAACTGGTTGTCTCAGTGCTCACTAGAGAATGGTCCTCTGCTTTTTGCTTCCTTGTCCATCGACTCTGCGGGCAGGAGCGCTGGCAACTGTTCACCCACCCTGCAGTGGAACAGGCAGTGACCTGGATTAGGACTGAGATGTTTCAGTGTCTCCCTGTGTCTCTAAGAGAACCTGCTGTGTAATCCCCATTGTTTAGATGAAAAACTAATGAAACAAAACCCTTTATCTCCTTAATTCCTGTGAATGTAGAGGTTGTGATCGTGCCCCACTTAAACTGAATTTCATGATGGTTTTTTGTTTAAAGCATTTAAACCATTCGATTATTTCCCATGGTAATAATACCAGTTTCACTTATTTTTATGAGTTTGAGTTTTGAAATCTCTTTCACACTGTAGATGTTTGCTGCTTGTGTTTTCCTTTTCTTTCTAAGTCCTTGGTTTGTCAAACAATGTGGACGTCCAAATGGGAAATTGTAGTGTCTGCATTCTCCAGGAAATGGCACATTGACTGAAGCGGCTTCTCTGTGCCCACGCGTTCTTTACATTTCAGACTACTAATTATGTTTACAAAATGTCTCATTTTAGAAAAGCACTATGTGTGTACTAACCAGGGCCTTTCGGGAATAAATTGGCAAACAGGTCATACACTGAAAAAGTCATCCAAACCCACCGGGCTTTTTGTTTTGAAGCCAGTCTACTTTTTTTTTTCCTTCTCCCCCTCCCGCCTGCCCCTTTGTGGCCACGAAGCTGAGTAGCTGGAGTCCAGGGCATTGAATGTCAGCATGTCAGGGAGGCTGGTTGATGAGTGTCTGTTTAGTCTCAGTGCAGGGCGAAATGCCATCATTAATTCATTACCCAGCTGCCTGTCAAATAAATTGGCAATTACGTCGACCGCAGAAGCTTGGAATTCAGTAAATAGCACGTTACCATCTCAGAGTCGTTGAGAGATGTAAAGGGAAAAATTAAGCAACAGCGTGTTTGTTTCAGTAGCAGATGACAAGGGGCAGCACATTGGTGCTGTGATGTAGTGATGAAAAGCTTGGAAAGGGCTGGTAATGAGCTGTGTGGATTGGAACGTGTTAAAAACCATCACTGACTTTCCACTTTGTCTTTGTGTTTTATTGCAGAGCTCAGCTCCTTCCAGCTTGGGAACAGGCTACTTTGTAAGTGTATCTCAACTTTCACAGGTGTGCCTCTGAACAGCATAGCTTCCTCCTCAGACAAAAGTGCCTCAGTGTGTGGAAATAGGACTAAGCCCCCAGCCCCACTCTGGCCCGTAGCTTAACGTACCTTTGTTATTTCTTCCTCCACAAATGCACTTGAAGTCACATTTCCAACACGGTGTTTTCCTGAGCTAATTAATTACTACATAAATTCCAGCAGTATTTAATTTACACAATTAGAGCAAATAAAATGAACCGTGGTCTTACCAGCTCTCTAATCTGAGATGGCAGGATCTTGATTTTCCCCTTGTAGCAATTCTTGTTGATTCGTGGATTTTAAGGAGCCCATTACACCAGTCTTGCCTCATCTCCTTGTACCACAGGCCAGAGAATGGGACACAATGATTTCTACCTGTTGCTTAAAAGCCCCCTGGTCTCATGGACACTCTTGGGATTTGCAGCTGTGCTTTTATTTATGCCAGATTTACATTTTATGTCCTGAAAAGTGGATCAGGCACCAGCTGGTTTGAAAATCGAACATTTTTGGGGGGGTTGTGATTTATTTGCATGCCCCCATTGATTTAACAGTCTATATACCTTTCTATCTGTTTATTCCCCCGTTCATCAATATGCCTTTTACTTGCACAGTTAAGTTTGGCAGTAAAAAAATGTTTTCCAGTCAATCCAATGCACTGTTTATTTTCTTCCAAGGTTTGTATTTGAATTGCTTATACCCCGTTTCACTTGTAACTTATGCTGTATCCTCAAAACACATCTTTTCTGCCTTGATAAAGCTGTAAGGGAAGCAGAGCTTTATGAATGTCCAAAACCAGGTGGGTAAAATGCAGTGAGCCTTGTCCTGCGTTGCTCTGTGAGGTTAACAGCGTAATCAAAGCCTGTTTCTATCTTTTCATCACACTCTGGGGAAAATGAAACGATATGGTATTCAATTACACCATGGAAAAACTTTGTTGCTCTCTTGTCAGATTCCCAGAGAGTAATTTTCTTCTATTAGTACATGGTGAATTTAGTCTTTTGTCATAGAGGTCGATGATCCTGTAAGAAAGTTATGTGATTAGACTGTGTAAGTGTGACCTCACCTGCAAAGCATAAAATGCAAGCACAAAAATTGCTTAATACCTGGAGAAATGCTGTGTCCTGCTGGATTTACCTTGGATTTGTGCACCAAAGGAACGTTCACAGTGCTGGTGGTGAGGTGTGACCAGAGCAGCACCAACTGAAAAAGCTTGGTGGTCGTTGTTCTAATTAAACCAAAGCCCAGATCACTGTAAGGTAAGTTGTGAAACAGAAAAACAAAACTGCTTTCCTTGTTTTCAGCACTTTCCCTGGTTTGTGTCACTTGTATTTTTAAGAGGGAGGGGATGAATGGAAAAAAATGGTATCAAATGGCTCAACATTTATTTTTTGCATTAAAGCTCAAACTCGAGTGTCTTTCCATAGTTCAGAGGGAATTGCTTTCCTTTGTCTGGGAAAATTCAAATCATATGAACATATATAGACATGCTCTGGAATGGGACAAATATAATATGGGCTGAAGGACTGAAACATATCTATGTATATATAAATAAGCCTTGTTCTCCTTGCAGCGAGAGCTGAATATGCATGGTTTGAGAGCGGTGCTCAGCTTCATCTTTAGGCAGCAGAGGTAACAGAAGACAAGCCATCTGCTGTTCCCTGCACCATACTGTCTGTGGGTTGGTCCAGTAAAGTGAAAATCTGGAAGGTGTCAACATCCCCTATGCTCCAACGGAGAGCTTGAAAGTTTCCAGCTCTCCCGAGTGAGGGATTTAGTAACAAGAAGAAGCTTGACATCTTCTAGGGCCAATGTATTGGCACTTCAAATCATTCTAATTTGGATCTGTGTTGGTGGGGGAGACATCCCTTGTTAGGTGCCATTAATACGTTTAACTGTGCTGTTTCTTGTCTCTACTCACAGTATTCAGATTTCTTTAACTTCCTTTTTCTTTCTTCACTAATAGATAAGAAGGTGGAAAATGTCCTTCAGTCTCTATCTTAAAGCTGTTTTTACACTTACACGGTCTTGGAGGAAACATGGAGGGTTTTTTTTTCCTCCCTTTTCACTTTGGAAAAATTGTTTTTAGGATTATCTTGCTTATTGTTTTAAAGAAGTCAGTACCCTTATTAACTTACATGGGGCAAATAAAACCCAGATGTGTTTTGCGGTACCAGACAATGAGAAAAATGCTCCAGAATGATCCAATTAGCATGTGTTTCTGATAAATGTAATTATTGCACTATCAAAGTGCAAAAGGATATGCACTTGAATTGACTTCTTTTTTCCAAAGCTTTTAACTAGAACAGACTGTTAGTTTTTGTGTTTAGTGTTAACCCAGAACATCAAAACAGGGGTCACCGATCTCAAAGAAAGAAAAAATAACATCTAGTTGAATAGATAATAACAAAGCTTTTGCCTTTGGAAATTATTCCACATGTGATGTACATCGGGCTATGAAATACTATGTACATACTGCAGCTCACCAAAGGAAACAAAGGAACCAGGTAAGTTAAAATGCGCTGATGGACATCGACTGCACATGGAAGCAGGTTTTATTCAGGAATGAGTGAACACTGAGGTACGGATTAAGTAGCATTTATTTGCTGTTTAAATCCAAGTATTGATGGACTCCTTGTGTGCTTAGGCCATGTTACATAGCACAGAGATAACGCTTGTTCAGCGTGGAATCTGCTTTGAGAACCATGCTTTTGCCAGGCACGCAGGTTTGAGGGGTGGTGGGTCATGTGTCTACGATGTTTGTGGATGCTGTGCATGCTACAGCAAAGCTGAAATGCCTTTTGGATCATGAGAGTCTGTAGAGAGTCTCCTGAGATCACTGAGTGTTTTAGGAAACATTTATAAAGCTGACACTTCCCAGTAACACAAAATCGTTTCTCTAATATCTCTACGATAGCTCCATCCTAGGAATTCATTATGCACTTTCAGTGGTGGTAAAGGCTGATTACCTGATTATATACAGTAAGTAGGTAAATTTCTGAATGGCAGAGTTGGAGAGTGAATTCTGTGAGTTGGTTTTATGTTAGTGCTCCTTGAAAAGCAGTCGGTGAAGTTAAAATGCCCGTGCTCAGGGGAGGGCATTCCCACAGCCTGCTTTGACTCCCCACCTTCCCCAGGAAGGCAATGGAGAGGGTTGGGAATCTCCATCAGGTGATTCAGCCTAACCCACCCCCAGCTGGGGTGATGGAACTGCCACTGATTAAACAGACTTTGTAATGAGATCCCTTCAGCAAAGGGGACAGGAGGAGTGACCACTGGTGGAGTGTTAATGGTGCAGGGCTGTCAGGGAGTTCTAAACACCCCAACAAGTTTGGTCTTCAGTGAGTAACCACCCTCTTTTACTTCTATCACAAGTGTTGGTGTGTTCAGCAGATTTTGTTGAATAGACAGTTTTGCTGTTGTTGGAATCTGTTTCCTCTGTCTCGGTGCTCCTTGTCAGAGGAGACACTTTCCCCATCCTTTTTGCATATTATTAGGTCAGTAGTCAGAAAAGAAGAGACACAGGTAAAAATCACTCTAATTCTCCCCTGTCTTTTGCCTCAACTGCAGCATCCCTGTTCTGAGTTTCCTCTCCCCAAGCCACCTATGTTACAGGACTCCAACTGGCCCAACTTTACTGTTTGCTTTCGGATCAGTCCAGTCTATGACTGGTGTATATGAAAAAAAATCTAGACATGCTGTTAATATTGTTGCACCCTAAGAAATCACAACTGAATACTTCCTGGGAAATCTCCCAGTTGTCTTTGATATTTTTTTTGCATTGCAAATTGTCATTGTCTCTCATCAAAGGCAGACTATAAGGTAGATTACGTCTCATCAAGAAGTCAGATCAGACAATTGGAAATTAGAAGTTAGAATTTTAGAGAAAAATCACAATCTTTTTAACTTTAAAGGAAAAGCTGTTTGAATTATGTGAGTTTGTAATGTTGTCCAGCTGCCTTAAGATTTCTGGGGGTTGAGTTGCTTTAGAATATGATTGGAATTTGTATAACAGTAAAGCTTTTTCTCTTATCTGGCTTTGAAGAATGATTTTTGCTCATTTATGTATCTTCCACCCAGCCAAATTCACATTGAAAGATAGAGTGGTTCATTGGTTTGCAACCCACAACAGAGAAGAAATCCAAACCTGTAGCTGAGTGTTTTCCTTCTAAACAACAAACCTATTCCCAAGACTGTCAAGTCCTTTGACAATTGCAGAGTTTTCCTGTTTATGGCAACTTATCTCCATTTCCTGCACGGGTCTGCTTCTTGAGTCTTTGTGGCAATTTCTGAGGCTTTTCTGTTCCTTTATTTAATACTTATTTTTGGTTAGCAGGTTGCTGCTTCCCCCCCTGCCCCACCAAATGCAGAGAGTTTGTGGATTTTTCAAAACTAGATAAAATTTGTTAATGAGCTGGTGATGGAAATAATATTGGGAAGGCAGAGTAAGACTCCTCTGACCCTTCTTTTCCAAACAATGCTCTTGCTCCACCTTAAAAAAAAAAAAAAAAAAAGAAAGAAAGACTAAAAACTGTGCTTTGCACATGGGCTGGTGACTCAGACTAACATAAATCGTGCACATATTCCCAGAGGGTCTGGCTAATCAGTTGTGCTGTGCAGTCTGGCCCTGGGTGGGTTCAGCTCAGCAGATGTTTGTGTGGTTACAGCAGGCCACTGGGACACTGGGTTGTGCAATGTTGCATTACATTACTCAGAGCTCTAAAAACTCGTCCCAAGGAGAATAAGGGGAGCACCAGTGGTGTTTAGTGTGGAGATGATGGAAAAGCAGTGTTTGGGCTAGAAAAGGGCAGATACTGCCCCGTGCAATGGGGGGCATTTTCACCCCAGATGTTGCCTTACAGAACAAATGTGGAATTAGTTACACCAGCACATTCAAAGAGTAGATTTGCCCTCCTTGCCTGGTCCATGTGCCCTGGCAGTGGTCCTGAGGAGCCTGTGCTGTGTC